GCCGTCGTCGTCGTCTCCAAGAAGAAGAAGCTTCGATCCGGCGAAATGGTGAGGGTTTCTACCCTCAGCCCGCAGGATCAGGTATATTTTAGGGATTTAGTTCGGAGGACGAGGATTACGTACGAATCTCTGAGGATTCTTTTGATTCGGGAGGAGGATAGGGCGGAGGGATTGGGGCTTTTGACGAGGAGGAGCAGGGCTGACCTAAAGGCGGCAGCTTTGATGACGGATCGTGAGCTTTGGTTGAATAGGGATAAGAGGATTATTGGGCCGATTCCGGGGATTAATATTGGGGACATTTACTTTTTCAGGATGGAGCTTTGTGTGATTGGGTTGCATGGGCAGGTTCAGGCTGGGATTGATTATGTCTCGGCAAGCAGGAGCTCGAGTGGGGAGCCCATTGCGACGAGCATTATAGTTTCGGGGGGTTATGAGGATGATGATGATAAAGGGCATGAGTTAATTTATACTGGCCATGGAGGTAGAGACCAGAATTTACATAAGCATTGTGCAGGGCAGAAACTTGCTGGGGGCAACCTCGCCTTGGAGAGGAGCATGAATTATGGGATCGAGGTACGTGTGATTCGTGGGGTTAAGTGTGATAAGAGCCCTACGAATAAGGTTTATGTTTATGACGGGTTGTATAAGATTGTGAAGTGTTGGGTTGATGTTGGGAAGTCGGGGTTTGAGGTTTATAAATACAAGCTTTTGAGGATTGAAGGGCAGGAGGAGATGGGGAGTATGTTGATTAAGCGGGCTGAGGAGTTGAAAGTAAATCCATTGAGTGTGAGACCAAGTGGGTATTTAAGCTTGGATATGTCAATGGGGAAGGAGAATTTCCCTGTTTCCCTATTTAATGACATTGACGAGGATCGGGATCCTTTGTTGTTTGAGTATGTTGCTCGACCTGTGTACCCTCCTGGTTTAAGGGAAAAGGTCTTTGGTGACTGGGGATGCGGGTGTGAATGTGTGACAAATTGTACAGTGGATTGCCGCTGTGCAAAGATGAACGGTGGAGATCTTCCTTATGATAAAAATGGGATACTTGCAAGGGGAAAGCCAGTTGTATATGAGTGTGGAAGCACATGCAAGTGCCCACTGAGTTGTCCAAACCGAGTGAGCCAGAGAGGGCTGAAGAACAGGTTAGAGGTGTTTAGGTCTCAGGAGACCGGATGGGGGGTTCGTTCCTTGGATTTGATAAGGGCTGGATCTTTCATCTGTGAATTTAGTGGGATTGTACTAACAAAGCAACAGGCAGATGTGCTTACAGCAAATGGGGAATGCTTGGTTTGTCCCAATAGGTTTCCAGGAAGATGGGTGGAATGGGGAGATATAACTGATGTGTTCCCAGATTATAGGCCGCCAAATCTTCCTTCTTTGCCTGAACCGAGTTTCTCAATTGATGTGTCGAGGGCAAGGAATGTTGCTTGCTATATGAGCCACAGTTGTAGCCCAAATGTGTTTGTGCAGTTTGTTCTGTATGATCACTATAATGTGGCATATCCCCATCTTATGATCTTTGCACTGGAGAACATACCTCCTCTGAGAGAGCTGAGCCTTGATTATGGGATGGTAGATGAATGGGTGGGAAAGCTCACCATGTAGCAGAATTCCATAAGAAGGGGTGCTATCATGCTTATTCTAATTTTGAGTATGTGGCTCCAGCACATGCTTTTGTTGACTGAACATGCTTCCATAGGTACTTTTTCTGAACCTTTTTTTTATTACATTTTACATGATCATTTTTACAACATGACATACTGATTAGTTGCTTTGTAAGTCATGACTCATGACTGCCACTTTATTTTTGGAGTTGAATCGAGGTTTTTGGTTTAAATTGTTGAACTGGGTCTAGCTTCTCTAAAGTACTCACAAAGATGATCGTCTCATAGTTTTAAGTTGGGCTTGGGTATAATCTTTTGTTCACTGTTTGTTTCCCGATTTTACATTATTTCATTGACGTACAAGGTGACACAGAGCATGAATATTATATCATGATGCTTTTCATTTTATGTGAGTCGCTTATGTATTGAGCATGATACTGCTTATTATGTATTATTTTAGTTTTTTCTATTCTGTGTCACCATGTCATTGCCTGTGATTTTAGCTCAAGCAATAATTGATATTTGCTAGTCAAGATTGATTTAGTTGAGCTTGCATATGGTCAAATGTTTTCTTCTGTGCCTCCAGTCATAACTCTTTCTTGGAAATCCTTGTTTACATGCCATAAATTGGCTCCTGATGCTCTTTTAATTTGTAACACGTTCTATAAATCACTTTTAAGAAAAGGTTTGGAATGACACATGATCCGAAAGATATTTCTCAAATGTAAAGTAGAATAAAAAAATCGTAAATTTCAAAAAACTATGTACTTTATATGGTTTCAGGAGATTACCATGTTTATGTAGTTTCCTATTGTAAATTACCATAAAATAATTCCTGGTAAATTCATAAAAAACAGAACCAGAATTGCGCAAGTAAGAGATATCGCTGTTTTTTATGAATAATCTCATTCAGTTTGTGCAAATAAATCTTTTCAAACATGAAGCTATGAACCCTTAATTTGAAAAGTCAACTTTAAGTTTCCTTCCTACTCAAACTGGGAAAAGCTGATCGTTGTCTCTTGATCAATGTATTTTTTCAAAGAGTCATATTTATTTTCAACTTTTTTGTCGGTTGTAAAGGCTCGTACTATATGGCATCATCTTTTCTTTTTATATAAAGAAATAGATCGTATATTGCCTTCTTTAATGAAAGAAAGTGAAACTAAATAGATTTATGGTTGCAACAAGGTGTTGATATTCTAAGAGTCATGTTGCCCTCTCAAGGAAGTATATCTCTTTCAAGTCCCATAAGTCACAGTTCCTTGTTAACAGCAAGATAGAGAATAAAATTTAATTAACATGTATTTATTTGGTTTATCATAGAGAGTTCTCACCTAAAAGCATAGTGCATGTCGAGATATAAAACTTGCTTTCTTTCAGTTAGATATTCTAATGAGACGCCGGTCAGATGTGCAGGGTTAGAGTAGAAATCTGCTATTATATATATAGAAATGGTATGAGAGTTATTTTACTTATTCAGTTATTTGGTGTGCAGATGGTAACCTACTTAATGTAGTCATGAGCTATTACTGATTAGATGACAGAAAGGCATGACTGTTATACGAAAATCATGCAACACAAGATTATGTATCTTTGTCTTACAAGTGCAAAGAGAAACCCAGAAGCTAATGTTATAAGTAAGCTACCTAAGAATACTTACAAGAATGTTGCCATTTCAACCCAGTACATGTAATGCCAATGGACTTTTTGGTCTGAACCAACTGCATGTAAAGTTAACCATAATTTTTTGTTCTAGTCCACTATGACAATCACTATGGTTTCAATATCGTACATTATGTGCACATTGTATGATTCAATACGATATTCTTGAAGATCATACATATGTTATTGTATGTATCAATTGAGGCAACGTACCATTAATGTAAGTTATGTATCTTATGAAATATAGTATGCTGTATGTTATAGCAAGTTTACTAGACTTACAAATGAATTTCAAATCCATTTACCTTTAGGTCGAATCATGGATTTCAAGTTTCAAATTCCAAGCCCCTTACCTATTTAGCCATTCAATAAAAACACAAATTATTACCATGCCCAGTTTTCTTTCTATCATTATGGAAATTACAGCTAAACTCCGATTTCAAATAGGGAATTTGGGATAATTAAAGCTCAATGCAAGGAGAAAAAGTTTGGGATAATTAAAGCTCAATGCCATGAGGCAAACGAAAAAGGAAGATGCCACATCTGTAAAATCTGATTTGCTCATCATGATTTAAATCAATACTAGAAGTGGACTTCAAGATAGTTGTCCATGAGTATTTTGAGCTTGGACGATGTTAAGGTCCATTTAGTCCCAGATTGATTATTCGGGAGTTAATTGTGGGTTTATAAGGGATTTGGATCCCTTTCCTATTATTGCTAACTTTTAGGAGTGAATTCTCCTAGGTTCCTTACGGAGGACCAAGTGACCAACTAGCACTATCAAAAGGAAAACAGAGAGAAGAGTAATGCTAACCATTTAGTTGTTAATTTCTGAGTTTCAAACATAAGAAATTATTTGTTATGCTTATACCAATTATTAATAACACTTAAAATTTGAATGCATTGGTCAAAAGGAAAGACAAAGAAGGCAATCAGGAAAGTTTGTGGACAGCAAAAAAGAAGAAATGAAGAAAATATGATATGATTCTTAAATTTAACAAGAGCGATGGATCTATTGGATGACTGATTGATGTTAGATTGATGAAATGTTATCATTCGTAAAATTAATTTTATTTGTATTCTTATTTTTGAATTATGTGGTATCAATTTGAGTATTGACTTTATATAATTATTGTACTTGGATTTGTGTTATTTAAATACTATATTTTTTCTTAAGGATATTTGCATTTCTTTTAGTTATTCATCATTCTATGCTAAAACTTAGTACTTATTCTTGTGATATATGCTGTTGAAATTTACTACTGGGCTATTACAGATGAGTTAATTTGTCTCTTGTGGTAGCAGATACAATACGCTATATACGGAAAAAAAGACATGATACATATCCATATTTGATGACTTGGATAGCATCAATTCTGATTTGTCACTAGAACCAACTGCAATTTGCCTACATAATGGTTGGTGTCTTTGACCTAGTTCATGCACTAGTAGTATCAAACCCTATTGCATGTGATAGATCCAATAAGAGGTAGAGTTTACCGGGGATAAAAAGAACGTGGAGCAGGAAACATTGGTTAAATATTTTTTGATCAGGTAAGGCGTCATGTTTGGAATTGGTTTCTGAAGAAAGTTACCCAAAAAGAAAGTAGCCAGAATTTATCCCATAAGAGGTTGAATTTACCAAGGATAAAAAGATTGTGCAACAGGAAACGTGGGCGAGGGATTTGGTAATCTGGGAAGATGAGGACATGTTTGGAATTGGTTTCTGAAGAAATACTACCCAATTAGAAAGTAGCCAGAATTTGGAAGGATATAAAATATTTTTTGCAAAAGTCTGTGACCAGACGTTTAACTTGTTAATTAACTGACGGGTTCACAGGACAACAAAGATATATAAAATCATACTAAATACTCTGTTTGGATTTTTGGAAAGGGATCAGAAGGCCTAAATTGAGGGGGAGAGAACATGGTATCCAGTTTATGAAGAGATCATAACTTTCATAAAAGGAACAAATTAAAATTTGGAATCCCATATTTCTTTTTCAGAAATCAACTCTAAAAATGATCTCCTCTGATTACACACTTTGTATCTTGTATTTCATTTTATATTATTATCTCTCTCTGGGGGTTCTATATCCCCGGGGATCTATGTTATGGGATTGATGGATTACCCATTAGGGTTTTTTATTGCTGCTGGTTCAAACTGCAAGCTCCCTTTGGTGCTACATGCAGTGGGTTCATCTGGCAAACACCCGTTGGTGCCACATGCAGTGGGTTCGATGCAAACAGCTGATGCTGTATACAGTGGGTTTAAATGAAACAATTGTTGATGCTGCATGCAATTGGTTGGAATGATCACATGCTACGTGCCTATTAAATATTTTACTTATCATCTGTTTGAACTTTTAGTCTCGTTTACTTGTGCATCTAATACAAGATAAATTATTTTAGGTGTACTTTAGCATTTTCGTAACTACAAAGCCTTGTTACTGTCCTATCTAACATGTAATCATTTCTTTGAGCATCTAATACAAGAACATATATTATCACTTATAGTTATAATAGGATAAATTCTACTGTAATCAGACTTCATTTTAAAATTTCTCATAAATCTAACTGTAAGAAAAAAAATCTGACATTTTATTTATACTATTATCAGGTGAGAAATGTACATGTTAAAAAAAAAGTTTTTATTGGGTGTGATTCTGCCTCTTGTTATGTCACCTGCAACTTCAATTGATGATAGTTTGATGTATGATTGTCGGTTTTGAAATTAGCTAACAAGCCCAAAAAGAGATTGACAGTTGGAAGAAGTGGGTACTGAGGACATGGGCTGGAGAAATCTGTTTCAATTCCTATACATCATAAAAATTAACTGTCAGTATTTAGCTCAAATCCAGTTCTGATAACTATTATAGCTTCTGTAATCGGAAATAGTTAATGTAGAAACTGTTTGATATGCTAAAGGTCAAGTGAAATGTTCTAGCAGGACCACCACAAAAGCAAAAGTTATCTGCAAGAAGTTGTCTCTTAGCCTAGCTACGAGTCTGAGAAGCAGAATTCTTTAAATCCTGCAATTTCAGAACCAACAAAATAAATAACTAACCTAGATTTAAATTAGTGAAATCTTTTACACCTTATGCATTGTTATTTTATCACCTCATCCGTCCTAGCTGTATCACACATATGTAGAGAAATATACGCGATACACGTATAATGAATATTACTCAATAATACAATGACTTTTAAGTTGAAATATATATCCTTTTCTGTGATGGGATACTAATGCATTTTCAATTCTCTAGTTATTCCTCTCTTTCTGACTGGCTTGTGGCAGTTCCTTTGTCTGCAAGTATTTTGGTTTCAGGGGCTGATCTTTGCCAGACAGTTACCAGTTGAACTTATTGCTAGGTCAAATACGGGATCAGTTTAAAGAGAGACACCACTGTAAATCTCTTCTTGAAAATGTAAAATGGGGTTGTGAAAATGGGAGTAGAAGGTACCTCTTAAGGTTTAATACTTTTGGATTCAAAATAGCTGATGAGAATAATAGGCGTAGCAGTAAAAGTATGGAAACTGGAAGATTGTCACATCAGTTTTTCATATTAATCTCTCCTCACAATACTCATCCAAATTTGTGCCACGTTCATATTATAATTACTCTAAAAAACATCGATTAGTTTGTAGATGAAAGAAAATATTGTGAAAGTGAAACTTGTTTTGGCACATGAAGAGGACTAGATGTATGGGTTTTAAGAGAATTTATTTCATTTTTTTTCTATTTCTTTCCAAAAATTATTCCGATGTATCTTTTCCAGTTTAATTACATTAGCTTCCACCACACATTTGGCAGCTAGGAGGCAAATTTTTTTTGTAAATAGTCTTATGGCATATATTCAGTTCGTCCTATAAATGATGGGAGTTGATTTTTATCATTTTAACTATATCTATCTTAGTTTTATTTTCATTTATTGCTAGAAGGTTAGAATCGATTTGAAAGTTATCATTCTGTTTCACGGTTCACCTGCAGAAGTACCTTAATGTTGTTCTGGTTACCGCAGGTCAATATTCTAGTCCTCTGCTGATGGATTTATGGTAGAATTTATTGACTGGTGTGAATAGTGGGTGGTTATCCAGAAAAATATTATCGGTACCTTTTATAAAGAGACTTCTATTATAGATCATGGTCTAGTATTGGAAGGTTAATTAGGACGAAAACCTGTAGATGGGCTGCGTAAACATAGGGAGACTTAAAAACCATATTGAGTGGGATATTTTTACGGGAAAATATAACGAATCTCAATAAAATATTGGCGCTTTTAAGCCCCTTTCCAGGAAGGGAAGACAATACCATTATGATTAAAATTTTTGAAAACATGCAGGGTCAAAGTAAGTGTAATGTTAATAAGAAATCTGTGTTCTTTGTTCTCCAATATACGTTGCGTGGAGTTCTTGCAGGTGATTAATCCCAGTATTGCTAAATATCGGTAAAAAGAAATGCATTAACCTCCTCCATTTTCTTTCCAAATATTTTAGCAATCTCTCGCTTATAAAGAATTTGACAAGGGGTTAACCAGACAGCATCTTATTCAATATTCACGGAAAGAGAGGTAGGAGAGTTATGAAGCATACTCTTCCAATTGTGAAGATTTCCTTTTCAAGCACATGTATTGGGAAAAAACACCTGTTTTTGTAATGTTATTATTTCTGTATATTTTTCAGAATTTTCTGTGAAAGCATGTCATGTTTGTGTTAACATTGTGTATCCATGCTTCTTTAGGATGAGAGATAACAGGAATGTGCTATACAGTATAATATTATTTAGTATCTATTCATGTAAATCTGCCTTCACAAGTACTGTGCAAAGATATGTGTTGAATAGATATGAAGAATGCATTGATCAAAGATATGTGTTGAATAGATATGAAGAATGCATTGATTGTCTTTGTGTTTGTGATATCTGTTGAATGTTTTCTTCAGTTTGAGGTGTAAGGAAGGATGTGCAGGTTAATTTAGGAGTAGAGCAAAGAGAAGTTTTAGTGTGGGAGCAGATTGAGTTGATACAGATAGTCAGCTTAGTTTCACAAATTACTGCACTAATTAAAATTTCCATTTATAATATTGTCAAATGCAATTATGACAAGTCTCACTTCCACACTAAAATTTCTTTTCTTGTTGTGGCTTCATGATAACTTCTACAGTTAATTCTTGCATTACTAAAATCTAGCATTGATTATGATTTTCACTATTCCCTTTGTTTTTTTTTCCAGTTACCATCGAGGGAATTTTATATGCTACTCAATCCTCTGTGCGGATCAGGCTAGGATGCTACCATGACCATCCCTTGCTGCTCAATGCTTTGTTTGTGTGGCACATACCACTGACATTTTTGTAAGTTGGAAGCATGAAATAGAGCTCTTTCATCAATGGTGGAAATATCAACTTCTGTTCGGGTGTTGTAAGGAGACTTATCTAGTGAGGCAATAAAAGACTCAGTAACTAGGTACAGCCTCATGTTTGCGTAGTCCAGTTACCTTCATTAGATCGTATATGTATATATCTGTATATTATTTTTGCCCTGTTGTACTAATAGCTGTTATCCCAACTATTTTTGAGAAACATTCCGTTGCCCAAAAAAAAAACCCTTTGAAAAAGTGATGATTAGAGGGTTATATGCAGAAGAATGTGTATAACTCAAGGTTTTCTAAGTAGTTGCTTCATTATGGAAGGCAAAGGAGGAGGTTGAGTTATTCCCAGGAATAGAGGCAACGCCTGCTGAGGAATCAAAGCTTTTCTTGTGGTGTGGGGGAGCCTTGAACCTTGATGCTAGCAGAAAATTATAAAAATCTATAATGTCATGCAAGTCTCTTTCTCCTTGCTGTTTAAAGCTCCATGGCCCATGAGACCAGCAGTTCTCACCACCCGGCGGTGAATGATCGAATTTCTTCAAATGGAACAAATACAGGTGCTTATATGTTCATCGACCATCGTCATGCAACGAACGAATGCTGCTGCATCAACATCTACGTTAATAATAACGTCCAGGGGGTAACTAACTCCCTCGTGTTTGGGAGCAAGGTGACGATGAGGGATCCTGGGGTACGTCTGGTATTCAGGCAGGGATGCAGAGAGAAGGGGGAGAGCCCCAGTGTTGAGATGAGAACAGATGCAAATATTTCATCTATCGGATTTGAATTCTGGGTCTTGTTAGCTATGCTGTTCGTTGTTGTCTCCATCTTTTTAAAACTGGCTGTGTAGGGATTTCTGAAGGTGCTTATTTCCCCCGCTTTATTATCGGTTGTCGCTTGTTGTTGGCTGTGGTCATCAGCTATGATGTTTGTGATGAGTACTTTCTTGAGTTATATGTTTTACCAATTGCTGCTCCATTTTGTATCGTATAATATGAAGGGACCGCATATGTCTCAGAGATCTTCGTTGGTCCTTGTATATCTGCATGCTTTTGCGTTGCAAAATCCTTGTACTAGTCTTTACACGTACTAAAATGCGCAGCTTCAATTACGATGAAAACGGTTTGCTTTAGCTTATGTGTCTATAAAGCCTTTGATATCAATGATTAGCGTGCCATGAGGACAAGATGATGACGTGAAGTGCGAAGAATAATAAAAAAAAAGGCTCGAATGAAGAAGCAGGGGATGGGGGAAATGGTTAATAAGAGCGAGGTCGGTGAAATGAGCAATAGGGGTGGTAAACGATTGAATCAAATCGAATATTAAAGTGTTCATATTTGTATTTGCTTAAACTTATCGATTTCGAATGTGGACTGTGAATCTGTGATACTCATATATGAGTTTTTCGAATTCAAACTCGAATACTTGGTATTTGATAAATATTCATGAATATTCATAAATACTTGCCGAATATCAAAGTATATTTATTCCACTAAAGATTTTGATTTTCAAATAGTACTTAAATTCATAAATAAAAATTATTCATTTATAATATATGATGTATATATTTTTAAATCAAAATTTTTATTAGATAACAGATTTAAGATTATTTAAGTCTTAAAATTAATACATAAAACTGAAGTAAAAATGGTAAGTGGGTTAAAAAAATGACATCATATGTGCAATAATACAAATAATAAGTGATCAAGTTTTAAACGAATATTTGATAGACAAACGAATTGAATATACATCTAATTAAATTCTACTCGTTAGCAAACTCGAATACTAAAAAATATTTGTTTAGTGATAAACGAACTATCGAAGAGAATATGACCAAATAGTTACTCGAACAATTATCGAACTATTTATTACTTATTTAGTTCATTTCCACCCCTAATGAGCAACGTACAGCAATTTGATTAGTTGTCTACCCACCTCGTATGACATAAAACTTTATTATAAATGATTATTTTCAGTAGTCGATGCTCAGTTTTCAAGTAGGACGCGATCAAATAATCGAAGCATCAGAAATTTTAACAAAACATAGTTTCGCCTGGAATCATCCATCCAACCCACCAAACGCGAGAGCATCAGGCATCAATCCCAATGAATATATATATTATTAGCTCACAGAAGAACGCGGGCGTACAATCTTGAACTCAGCTTGCTTAAAACGAACACCAAACTTTGACAGTTAAAAGTCAATAATATACTAGCAAGCAATTCCAAGTAGTAGTAGTAGTAGTATACAACAATTTCAACATGAGAAAGAATGCACCAATAAATCTAGACGCATCCCAATCTTGGTTACAGCTAGATCCCGAGATCTTACGCGGTCAATCCCTGAAGAAGAATTCGTTAAACCCACTTCTTACCAGATATGGCAACCTGTTTCACACGTCACCATTAATAGAATCTCATGCTGAACTTCCACATTTCCCTTGGGGGCGTACGATTACATTCAACCGACGATACAAACTTCAGTGGTTCTGACCTCTTCCCTTCTTCGATTTCCCCTTGTTCTCCTGCATCTTCTTCTTCTTTGCTTCGGGGGTTGTCCAAGTGTAATCTGATGGTATCAAGAAAGGATCTTGGATGTCCTCAACTCGGCTGCTTGGCCCTGAAACAGTCGTATAAGTTTGACGGTATGGGACCTTTATCCATTGGAGCCAAGAGGTCGATTGGGCTTGAGGTGTTGGGCTCTTGGCCCCGGGGCTTGAAGGTGGGGTAGAGAACTCTTCTGAAGGTTGTAGTTCTTCGAATTTGGTGAAGGTGACGAGGACTCTGATGGTAGGTACAACTGGAATTGCTACCTGCAGAGGTTTGTACCAAGAAAACTTGAACTTGTGTTTGACATGGGTAAGTCATAAAATGAAATGACGAGTAGTTATTCCACAGAGGTAGTTGTATATCAAGGTTACAAGAGAGCAAGAGGTAAATAGAGTTTGAAAGGGGTCATCAAACCAAGTCTATGAAATTATTGTTTCTGCAACATGTTTCTTTACAAACAGTGTTGTTTATGTGGCACACATCCAAAGCCGTCAACGACGAACAAGGTAGCACCGTGCAGGGATCACCGGCCCCATTTAATATACAATACATAATACAATATCAATATGCAAGGAGACAGTCCAACTGGTAGGGTTGCATTCATTAAGTTGTTAAGATACAACACCCTAAGTTACAGGTATATGAGTGGAAATGACCAAATTCTGCCACTGATTCCACATTCGCAATCAAACCTCTAAATTTAAAGTGAACAAAATAACAAATATAATAGTTAAAACGGCTCACTCATGTTCAACAAGAGGTTATAGGCAAAATAAGACATGAAATTATGATCAGAAGAGAAGGCATGTAGAGTGAACAAGAGCATGTACATACTGAAAAAGAACTGTACATAACTGTGTCAGAAAAATGGACATTAAATGAAACAAATGAGGAAGAAAGCACCAAAATACCAAATGATTCAAATGTTTATCAGTAGTTCCCAACGGCTTGTTTATTGTAGTGATAATGGTGGAACAAATGCCTTGTTCTCAAAAGAAATTCTTTTCGAGACCTTATACCATATGATGGGATACAACTGATCCCAATAAAAAAATAAAGCAGTAAAAACTACGAACTAAACAAATTGAGGTTCATGCTGCTTAGGTTCTTGTGTAGAGTCTAGCGTAAATCATTGGTATGGAACACAATATTCTCCTATCTCGCTAATAGAATTCAACAACAGACTGTATACACTTAATCTCTGTTGCATTACAAATGAAAACCATTACAACCAATGAAATTTGCTGGCCTCGTAGCAACCCTATAAAATTGCCCCTTCTATTTCAATTAAACACATGAAAATAACTATGTAAGAAAGTAAAAAAAGGAAAAAGAATCCATTCTGGTACGAACGTACATGCACGCAGGACATTATGAAGGTTATGCTTTTTGTCTCATGGGAAGTACAGAGGTTCAAGCATATAAATGTCTGCAGAATCAATTCTTTGTAGTCTAGCAGTTAAGGGCCTGTTGTGTTCACAAAGGAACCAAAGAAGGAAACCAACGCCTTCTCTAAAGTGCTCATACAACGTACAATTTGAAGAAAGTGATTTCCGCTCTTCTCAAGCGGAAATCACTTGAAAAAGGGATTATGGCTGATTATTTAATTGGTTTTGTAGACATATTAAAGTGAATTAATGGGGAGAATACTTAAGCTAGTTAGGAGTGTGAATCAAATAAAGTGGAGGGTGGAAATGACTTTATATGGGTCAGTTTGGTTGTTTTCTTTAGGAAAAAAAAGGAAACCCATTTCCACATAAAAAATAGCCACTTCCCCCCTATTCCATGGGTTTCTTAGACATAGATTTTTCTCATCTGTTTCATCCTTACCTCAAGGTGAAAATTGGTTTTCATCCTTGCCTCAAGGTTAAAAAGAAAAAGGAAAAGTTGGAATTGGTTTTTTTTTAAATATGTCAGAGGTGTTGATTTCCTATTCTTAGGCTTCTTTGTGAACCAAAGTGCTCCTATATAGAAATGGGTTTCCTATTTTTTAAAGAAAACTACCAAACAACCCTAAGTAAAAATGGTCATGAAAAAAAACATGTGGCATTGCTTCATAGTTCTGATCCATAGATGATAAACTGAGAAAATGGAATACCTTCCTTCAGATATGACGATTCTGCTGGGCATACTATAGTAATTACATGAGTGATAAGGTTCTAACGTGTTCTGTCATAATAGCTCTACACTATATTACCTTTGCAATCCATTAAATTAAGGCTATTGTGATACATCCCGTCTATAGGGAGTAAGCCAATATTCACTCCCTAAACTTTATTTAGCACTTAGACCCCCTAGCATCTGAACAGAGTTATCCCCCACTGTTCATCACGTTGTGTCACAACATGACGTCAACGTGTTCTAGAGAGGTTACCGATATTTCAGTGTGCTGCACAGGAGGCCCCTATTCTCATGGTAGCCCTATATTACCTCTGCAAATCAATAAATTTAGATTAACTGCAGACTCACACCTTGCACTATAGGGAGTTGAGAGTTATCCACTTTATCACCCCCAACTTTCTTAGCACTTAGACCCTCTAATATCTAAATAGAGTTATCCCTCGTTATTTGTTCCTATCATGTGTGTGTCACATCACGTTAATGTGTTGCAAAGAGATCCGCTAATATTTAGTATGTTGCAAAGGACCTATTCTCTTATGGCCTTTGAACATATGCCCCTTATAGTACAAGTATTGATAACAGAGAGATAACTCCGTTTTGGCATCGAAGGTCTAAGAAAAACCATTAGGGGTAATAAGTGGCATCTATTGTACAGGTGATGTATCTAGAAGTAACCATTAAGTTTATATTAAAGTAAAAGTAAGGTTCTCATAAAATATGGTTTGATTTTGATGAATAATTATAATCACGATAAGAAGCCACCTGGTAAAACCTTATAAGGATAGCATTGCTTAGGTTATGCAGAAAGTTATAAACACTGGATCATTCTTTGAAGATTTTAGGATCCAATCATGCATACTTTTCATTAGTGAGTGCGCACTACTGACTTTGTTCACTTTCTAATGCAGCATTCATCTAAGATTATTATTCCAAAATAGGATAATCATGCCACGATTAAAGGATATCAAGGTGATAATCTGAATGTTGGTCCTGTTAGTTGCAGTTAATCTAACAAATAGATATTACTCTAATTCAATTTGCATTGTGATATTCATAGACCACAAAAGATCTATAAGATTACGGAGTAAATACATGCACAAGGATGTTGATTGAATTTTATGAGTAGCAACAAGATTTCCAATGAAAGAATTATTAGCAAGGTAGTTTAGTTTTTTTAGGGAAATCAAACCAAATAAATACATTCCATGACAGGTAGGTCATGAGATACGTTTTGTAGCTACAGACATCTTGCAATTCACTTTCACATGGCTATAAGCCTGAAGACGTCCACAATAACAGTGTAATAGTAGTTTTACTGAGCTGTATGATAATAAATTGTGTAGCTTGCACCCATGCATATTCTCGAGCTTATAAACTGATTAAAATGATTTGCATTTTCTAAACTTTTGCTAACTCATACTCACTAGACCTGAAATTTCCTCAATTAAGTGCACATATAGTTTAGGGAGAGATATAAGAATGAGTGACCTAAATTTCTTCATTTTCGTTGCGAAACTCACACTCGAAACCATCACTTAAAAAAACATTAACCATAAAATGAGAACAATTCTAGGTTCCATTTGCTTCCCTATGAAACTAGCAATAATCATCTAGCTAGTACTGACAACAGCAACCATGATGGCACAAGTTTTGGTCTATCAGAATCCAGATCAATTCTAAACTCCTTAGGCACAATAAAAAGTTTCTGATGCCATGCACTTTTTTGTTCGTTGGGAATACCGAGATAATGAGACACTGCCAAATGGTTGGCACCTGAGCCAAATGATTTCTACAGAAGAAAAAAGATATAACAAGGATCGATGCAAATTTGTTCTGATGGGGAGCTGCTCTTTAGGCAGGCAGGGTACACTTCATGAACAAGTAGCTCAACAACTTGATCATAACTGTCGAAAGAAAAAGAAAGGACAAAAGGGGCCCATTGACAGTGGCTACTTATAGCAGCAATCAAAGTTTCAATTAAAAGAATTAATGAACATAAAAGTACAACTCCCAATTATCTAGGCAGCTCCTCATTTACTATTCAACCACTGATGGATTGGATTGATTTGACCCAATCAACTAAAATATCATATTTGAAGTTAAATAATCCCCTCCATATTGATCCCACGTCTGAGACATAGGCATGGCCCGCATTTACTCAGTAGACAAACGTTGCAGATTAGCATCTGCATCGAAGAAATTTGACTGTGGTATCCATCAGATACAACAAGACTAACAAAGACCTACTGAAGATTAAGCACTTCACTCTGTGCAGTGTTCCTCAAAATATGGTGATTAAAGACATAATTAGAAAGTGAGACTCAGCACTTCTCACTATTTCACTCTCACATGACATAATGGTATGATCAAAACTATGATTCCTTAATCCTCAATGATATGAACAAAAGGGTTTGAAATTCATCTATTACATTAAATATTCAACATGTCACTGCACTTACAACATTGAAAAACTAGGCGATTTTGGTTTTCAGAAACACAAGGGACACTAGGTTCTCAAATCCAAACCCCAGAAGACAATTTAGATATCCTTAAACTAGTGCAAAGCAGTCTTTGCAATTGGAAGTTCAGTCCTAGGCATGAGTGGAGATGAATTCTGTATTAGCGAACAATGACATAAGACAATCAAAGGTAGAGCATATAAGCATAATACAAATATTATTACTTTACTATAATGTCATTTACACAAGAAATTGTCTCCCATAGCACTACAATGTCTACAATTAGCTTGCTATAATTTCATTTTCACAAAAGATCAACTCACCTAGTGCAAGATACTGGATGGATATGATATTACTATGCTACATGAATTAGGACCGTGCACCTAATGTTCTGGGGTTCAAAAAACAATGGCTATCCAATATGGAGAACTTCGCATATCATCATTCAACATAAGTCAGATTAAGCAATTTGCCGCTCACAGGACAGTAACATGAGGTTTTCGTCCAAACCAGAAGATTTCTTCCCACTGACAAGAGTCAGAATGCGCACACTAAGTTCAAGTTTATTATAAAGGGCAACATCTAGTTCCTTTATAAAGGACAACAAGGAGATAAATACATAAATTAGACTAAAGAGGTGAAAACAGAAATGTATTTGTGGATTGCTAGCAGAATATCACAAGCTGGGTATGACAACGGAGAAGAGATGGAAAGGTTTGGACTGTAGAAGGTATACAGAAGTGATGGAAAGGTTTGGACTGTAGAAGGTATACAAGAACTTTAAGAAGGCAGTGCAGATTTTATATAGGGTTTCAACTCCTCTCTATCCCGGATTTTCCTACTCTAATGCAGTAAGCCAATCAAGTAGGCCACATCTCCACAATTGGATGTATACTCACTTTGCTAAACTCCCGAAACCAAAATCTCTTTCCAGGGAGCAAAATCTCTTTCCAGGGAACAAAATCAAGTATAATCCATTAGGTTCCATCATCTTCATCAAGTCGCCAACCATCGACTCTTCTCCTTTTCTCCCCTATGTATAAATGGTCTAATCTCTTATATCTTACCTCTTCATGCTTCCACTCACCTCCAAGTATAAGATTTTCTTAATATATTTACAAATATAAAGAAGAACATACTTCAGTCCACATGCAGGATTCAATATGTGTAAGCCTAATACCATTTAGTTAGTTAAAAAGGTACAAAATGATGAGAGAAATGCTATACATGCTCAAGTGCACAGACGGAAAAGTAAAACAATATACATGACAGGTTTAAGACAACATCCTTATGCTAATCGCTACAGTATGCATTGGCAATATTGTAGCCCATTTGGGAGTTAGGCACTCAGAACAGGTGCAACACAAAGAGCAATTACTTTATGCCCATTTCTTGTGATTTTCTTAGCAATGCTTCTTGACAAGCACAGCATAATAAGAGTTACCGTAGTCCACGTATTTACATTCGATGCCAATTCAAGTGGCAGACCAACTTAAATAAATCATATGGAAGAAAATATCCTCTTTAATTTTTCTAATTTGATGGAGTTGCAAATGAACATAGAAGGCTGTTCAAAGACTATCCAACTGATTATCACATATGTCAAAAATATTGAGAAAGTATTTCTATATAATTATGTAAACATGCAATGCCATTGTAGTTCAACAAATTTGAAACATATATATCCCATATTTTCCTTCTAGCAGCAAGATAGGAGTAAAACATCATTTCAAAAATATAGAAGGAAAACATCATTGTATATTCAATGCTGCCTTAATTAAATCCATTCAATAAGTACTAATTGATGGTTCACATATAGCAATCTGAAGCTCTAATTTTTAAAATTAAAGATACCTTGATCAGAATCAGCACAAGCAATTCATGCAAACTGTGTAATAAGTATAAGACGTGACTTATAGCATAAAAATAAGAGTGTTCCTTTGTTGAATACCTTAACCGGAAATGTCCCAGGAGGGAGCTTCGTCGTAAGCAGGTCCCTTAATCGACGAATCGCCTTAACTTTATTCGCCAAAATATCAAGCAATGGTAGAAGCTCCTCGGTCCGGAGGGGAAAGTTAGGAGCAAGCCAAAGAACAGGCCTCAATCCTTTCTTATATTCACTCTCCTTGCCAGTTTCTTTACGTCGATGTCCACTTTCTGAACTCAAAGAAGACTTTCTGGGATCTTTCTCTCTTCCCCTTTTTAGATCCTCCGGTCTAATGGGTATCTCCATTGAATGCCTCCCTGGTGTATTCTGTATTCTAGATGGTGAATCTCCAAGAAGATCACTCACTTTCTCATCAACACAAAGGGAGCTCCTTGGAGGCTCAATTTTCTTCCCATCTTGCTTGTTATTAGCGCTAATTCCCCTCTTTCCCCAACCACCGAACCACCTCTTTCTGTCTTGTTTACTTTCAGCATTACTCGAACTACTCACATCCTCTATCGGAATCTCGTAGCGACTGTTCCTATGGCCAACAAATCCATCAGAAAGATCGTCTTCAGCAACATCCGGAGACATCTTCAATGCAATCTCCAGCTGCTTTCTTTCTTCCTGTGTCAAAACATCCTCATACTCTTCGCTCTCGGTGTCATTCTCGTTGGAGCTCTCGTTACAAGAGGAGAAGAATTCCTCATCTGTCATTGCGCCGGGTACTCTCCTAGACTTGACACTTACAACAACATGATGCATATCGTAAACCCTAGCTTTCCATTGACCGACCATCTCAGCCTTCTCTTGCCTCCTCCAAGTCAATTGTGGAAGAAGCACAGCACGGGTGACATCAATCCCCGGTCTAAATATGTTGGTCTGTGACATTGCTGATACCTCCTGTTGAATCTCAGCTTCACTAGCCTGAGCTCCCGCCCCTTCTAAAGCATTCATAATCTCCTTATCCTTGTGAGAAATCATACATAAGGTCCCCGGGGCTACTTTCCCGTCCTCGGATCCCTCTCCAAGAAACAAAACACTTTGATCCGATCTCTGAATCCTAAACCCATCGAAACCAGCCAATGTCATATCTGCCCTCAGATTAGCTCCTCTCTTCCATATCTTGTAAGTATCAGACGGCGCAATTCTTGATATAAATGGGATCACCGAGCTCTCGAAGTGAAATGTGATCTCCATATAGAAGTCCCTCATCCTCCTCATCGCGGCAACAACTCTAGGAAGTCTCCTGCACCATTTCGCCCAAGCTAAAGGCTGGTAATGCCGAACAATGATTTTCGCTAAATTCTCCTCTCGGTCACAGATTGCTTCTTGGAGAGCGCTCCATCCTTGTTCATTCTGAAGGCTCCAGTCTGCGCCTGCGAGCATTAGCATCTCGGTGGACGTGGCGTCCCCGAGCTTCACGGCGAGATGCAAAGGGGTTTCTCTGTTAGGAACATCTCTCCGATCGATGACTGCTGCAATTGCTTCAGCTTTCTCCTCTTCGGCGATCGAAGCAGCCTCCGTCTTGATCGCTGAGGGGTCGGAGAGTCGAGGGAGAGACGAAAGGGTACGTTTTAAACCAGAATAATCTCTGGCAAGGACTGCTTTGTGAACTGGGCTATGCGAATACTTGGAAACATCAATTCCAGCCATTAGAAAATGAGGGTAAAAGGTCCCAAATCAGGCTAGGACGATGAACCCATGCAAAATCAAGAAGCAAGACTCAATTTTGAGAGAAACCCACTTCGAAAGATTGAATCTTAGGGGTGCCCAGATGAGAAACTTGCAGAAATCTCAGATGGGGAGAGGAGACAAGTATCAGAGACGATGCATGTGAGAGCAAAGAATAACAAGGGGCAAAAAAAATAAAAGCAAATATTGAGAGAAGGAATCAAGGAAGGGATAGAGCAAGGAACGCCATTAAAGCAAGAATATAAATAGCAGTTAAAAAATGGTAAGAAATAAATTTATTATACATTATTATTATTATTATTTTCTTTTTTTCAAAACTCACCTCCCTGCGATTCAATCAATCTGTGTCTGTATATATAATGAACAGTTGACAAGAGAGAGGAGAGCGAGAGAAGAGAGGAGACTGTTTTTGAGAGAGAGAAGGGAATTAGTTTGCTTTTTAAGTTCTCTCCTTATTATAAACCCAAACTTCACACTAATTTATTTTCAAACCCGTCCGCTGCCAAAATCATCATCAAGTTACAACAATACTACACGTAAATTATTTTTAAGATTGGGTTTTATATTACCAGAGGTTTCCCATGAGAGAGCTACTAGGGGCAAACCCCCAACCACACCCCCCTCTCTTGCTACAGTACACTGGGACCGACATGAGATTTTAAAATGTGATTGGAGGTGTGCCCCTATCATTTTCCTTCCCCTAACTTGGTGTGGTTTACCAAAATTCTAATGTACATTTTATATTTTTGTAATAAGTTTCTGTATTTTACGTGGGTTTAAAAACAAATATAACTAAATACCTCGGCTTTAAAATGCCTGTTTAAAAGTGGATGGCTTTGTAAGTAAATAGTAGTAAAAGGTGGGGTTATAGTGGGGAAAAGCCCTTTTTAGTCGTGAGTTTTGTCTACTTATGAGTTTTGTTTGATAACGCAGAAGCGCAAAAATGTTTTTTTGCAGTGTGGGGTAGAATTTGGGAACTGAAAGTACCAAAAAAATTTGCCATTTTCGGGAAAGTATGGGGCCCAATTGAAATACGACGTGTCGGTGAGCTATTTGCTGGCACTGGATCAATGAACCAAGCCTAGTTGATTGGACCGACTGTGCTCGGGTGGGACCGGCTTTTAGCTGGTATAGTTTTTTTCGCAGATAGGCCCTTGACAACATCTAGTATTGTTTTTCACATATTTCTATTTATGGACAGGGTAGAATGGTAGACCATAACTTTCCCATTTTTTGTCGGGTATGGATCTGACGAGGATGCATACGACCCGATAAAATTGGAGTCAACCATCTTGGGTTCTTGAGACTTGAACCTGACCGGATCAATGAATCAGCTGTTAGTTAGAGGGTCGAAATCATCAAGAGGGTATATCTAGGAAAATTCCTTCAATATTTGCATAAACCCTCCTCATGTTTTAAAAGCGACATTTTACCCTTGTTTAATTTTAATTTGTAGTCAAATAATCAAAAAAAAAATTAAACTCTATAATAGTATATATCTTTTCTTCTATAGTAATGGAAGGATCTAACATTCATTAGTTATGCTACAGTAAATGCTACAGTAAATGCTACAGTATTTTTCTGTAGCATAAGCATGAGGATCCAAGCCTCACTATTCATGGTGTAATAAATTATGTAGCATTATTAATGTAACACATGCGAGGACTGTAGCGTTTAAAATATTACTGTAACATTATTACCGTAGCTCAGGCGATATACTGTAGCGATTAAAAAATGTTATTGTAACACTTACAAAAACTGTATTTAAATACAGAACTACTGTAGGGGAAACAAAAAAAATAGAGGACGTGATGTGCACGGGTGCACACTAGTATGTTTATATGGGAGTATTGGATCTAACTTTTACTTTCAATTGTTGGATCCAATGATGTTTGCCTAAAGGGGTCATACGATAAAACTTAAGGGGTTAACTAATATTTATAACGTTTCAGTGGCTTGTCTCAAAATTTTCCAAACTTAACGTTGTTTTGGGAAAGTTGTCCTTATATTTGACCGGCAACGTGTGCAATGGGTACTACAATTTTAGATATTTTCAATTTTGTCATTCTAATTAGTTTCAATATAAATAAAATAAATTATTGAGGACAATATTAAATTTTTTGGAACCTCAGCACACGTATGGGTAGAATAAAAACTCTGGCTTTCCTTAAATCTTAAATAATGAAAATAGATTTAACAATTTGACAGTACTGAAATTACTAAACCAATGATGTAAATGAGTATGATTTCTCTCAGAACCGATCGCATAGAGCAACCGTTTCGGGGGCAAAATTATAATTTCGCCTCCCATTTGAGGGTCAGAACCAGTTGGGATCGGTGGTCCATGCAAATCATGACCGTAGAAGGGACACGGTGCTAAAAAGTTAAATAATAAAAGTAATCAAAGTTTCCCAAAACCCAAGAGCCAATGTTTGATCAACAGCTCCAAATATCGCCACTCCCTGTTTATTGAGAGAGAAAAAAAATTAGAGGAATTTTTCAAAACAGTCTCAAAAAGATTTTTATTTTTTAAAACCGACCTGTTTTTTTTATTTATCAAAATCGATCTATTTTTTACCACGTGGGCTTAATGACGTTCCTAAACAGTCTGGGTTGTCAACCCCGAAGTTTAAGACATGAAAATTTTAGGTTTAAGGTTCTAATTGAGGTTTAACACCCTCCTAAACAGTTGGGGTTGCCAACCCCCGACTGTTTAGGAACTTCATTAAGCCCACGTGACAAAAAGTGGATCGATTTTGATAAATAAAAAAAATCGGATCGATTTTAAAAAATAAAAATCTTTTTGGGGCTGTTTTGAAAATTTGTTCCAAAAAATTGTGAACATTCAAGGGAGCTGCCGCCAATTGTGACCGTTAATTCAGCCTCCTCTGCTCCTTTCAAAAAGCCGTGCGCAAATGTTTATCCGTTAATTAATTAGCGTGTAAGCATAGGTAACCACGAAATTTGCAATTTTGTGATTAATAAACTCTTTATGAGTAGTTATGATCATAGAAAGATGTTGGGTGAGAAAAAAAACAAAGCGCGTTGATCCTTGATTAGGTCAAATCAGGTGGATAAGCTAAATTTGACCGCTTGGTTAAGATATCTATGCTGGAGATTTCTGCATACTTTTAAATAGTGAACAGTATTATTTTTTTAAAAATAAAAAAGTAACTTAATATAGTATATAACTTTTTCTACTTTTTTGGGAAGGGGTGGTTGGTGCGTCAAATAAAATAATTCTTCAACGAAATATACTTATTATTATTAAAACTCGTAATTTTCTGGGGTTTCAATTAAAATAAAAGTAATTACTCCTATTTATTCTTGCTATAAATGCATATATAAATGGACGAAGTACATGTAAAAGACAAAGATGCAACGAATTAAAGCTTTCGATTTGGCCTTTGATGTCATTTAAAAATATAAATAGAAATGTTGACGTATTACTTTTGTTCCTTATTATGTCACTATGCTACGGTCGTTTTTTAACTCGGTAGAAAAGTTTTACACCTCCTCCACATCAGATTTTTCGTGGCCACGTAGGATATAAGCTTTCCGTCGGTTTTTTTTCTCATCTTTGGTTCGCTAGGGTTGAAGAAGGGAAACTCGGTGAAAATCGTAGCCACATCTGACTTTTTTCTCTTCCCTAATTTCTTTCTCAACCTCGTGAAATCGACCAAAACTGCAGTCACGTCGGTTTTTTGCCATATAAACAATAGTTTTTCCTTTTTTTCCATACGAACCAAACAAAAAATAAATAAATACATTGGTTTCCCATCATTTTTTTTTTGCGAACCAAAACGAAACAATATATTCTTAGATAAGTTTGAAAAACTCAAAACTTGTGTTTTTGTACATAGAAATGTATTTCTCTATATCTAGGAAACGAACCAAACATCCCCTACGTGTACAAAAACCAATATATAACCATTATGATTTCTGTGGCATTTGAAAGTTAGGAATTCCTCGAAAAACAATTTAAATAAAAAAGTTCCTCAAAAAAAAAAAGATAGCGAGAAACCTACGACCAGTCAAATACGTTGAACCTCTATTGTTGTGTTAATCTCGGTTACTGAAAGTCCAAATGTCGATAAAATGTTTTATATATTTCCACGCCTCCTCCTCATAATAATATTAATTACTGAGACTAAATTAATTAATATACTCTTTAGTTTCTCGCAAGATATGACCTCATAATAAACGAGGGCACATAGGAATCGATGTTGATCTGGATAGTTGGGAGATTCTAATATGTCGCCTAATGTTTTTTTGTTTGAACGACAATATGTCGCCTAATGTATTGAGTTCAATTTCCATATCACAAAAAAAAAATTAATAGAAAAAAATAAACAAGCGCCTATTGAAGCCTCTAAAAGGAATAATACATGATTATACAGTCATAAGCGGGTGCCCTTTGATCAAAGTGACATACTGTGGTCAAGAGGACCACTTAATTTAGGGATTTCTTAAATAAATCTTTTTAGCTTTTAAAATGTCATCAAACCCCTTCTAACTTTATAGATTAAAAAAAACCTCATTCAACTTTTGATTTTTTTAGAAAAAATCCCTAAAAATATGAACCGCGATCTCGCTAGCAAATATCTCCATGCGTAACTTTGTCCACCCTTGTAAAAATTGTGATTAACACTATCAAGAATCTTTTTCGGGAAAGAAGTTGAAAGCTGAAGGGGGCTTTCTGAGAACCCAAAAAAATTTAAGGATGGTTTTGTGTAGTTTGTAAGTTAGAGGGTTATGTGAGAAACACCAAAACTCAAAGGAGTTTTTCTAAAATTTATCCTTTAAAACACTCACCTATCAATTCAAGAACTTATTTATTTGAAGTATGAAAACTCGTCATGGGAAATTGTAAAAGCTTTTTAATTATTAATAATTACAGTGACACCACCTGATGTACACAGTGTGAGGATTTTTGTCCTGTAAAGATCAAGTTTATCATCAAGTATTATGGTAAGTAATAAAGCGGATTAGTGAAATTACAATGTTTGTTAAAAAAATCAAAAATTAAAAGGCCACGAGCACTCTGATTAGTTTGGATAAGGACAAACTTTTACAATTAATTGCAATGCAAAACAGGGAAACAAATTTTTTTTTTTTATGCGCAAGGAATGTTTTGAGTTGGTAAGAAGAAAGTAAAAGCCTGCACATGAATGAAACTTAACGTATTTATAAATGTAATTATAAACGGGACAAAGGTATTTGATTCAACCCTTTTCTGATATTTAATTGTGGTTTCTTTGTTATTAATTCGTGACACCTATTATATTTTGAAGTTAGTCCCTCAAATCATTGAAATTGTCTCTCAAATCTTTGGTTATTTGAGAGCATCCCCTCAAATCATTGAAGTTGCTTCCACGTCCCCATCTCTTTGGTGATTTTGAAATTAGTCCCTCACATCAGGTGTGGAAGTAGCAATTGGAGAGAAATTAGGTCCCCAAGTCATTGAAATCACTTTAGTTTCTCATAAGGCGTGTCAAGTTAATCTCTTCCATTGCAACTTTTTCTCTCGATTTGATAGACTAATTACAAAATTGTGTAAGAATTAGAAGACCTAATAGCAATTTTAATTATTTGAGGGGTTAATTTCAGAATAACGTAAGATTTGAGGGACTTGATAGAAATTTCAGTAAGTTGACTGACTAATTCAAAATGTGAAAGATTTAAGGGACTAATATTGAAAGAAAACCCTTTACTTTTTTTATTTCTTTTATAGATGCCAGAGGAGTAAAATTAAATAACTGGAGGGCACCAATGCAATATCCCGTACTATTAATTTTGCTAATTGGGGTCTAATAATGCCACGTGAGATTTGATTAGTACAGCTAATAGCATACTGCGGCCTAACATGCTTTCACTAAATTAAGGAGTAATACAGCTCAAATACAGAATCAAAACCATTAATCTGATCTTCATGCGACATGAAAGGTTAGTACCAATTAGGATTAGTTGAAGATACACCCATGTCCTACAATGACATTGGCCACTTATTATATTTAAACTTATTATTTATTAATACTCATACTGCTTAATATCCAGCCTAAGTTATCTTCATGTTATCTGCACATGTCATATGAGTATCACGTGATATCAATGTGCTGTAGACATATTTCTTAATGTCCAACCTTAGTTATCTTCATGTTATCTGCACATGTCATATGAGTGTTACGTGATGTCAATGTGTTGTAGACATATTTCTTGATGTTTCACTGTCTGGTTAACTTGTCTCATATTGTTTCATAGGTGTTGCGCATGTATCCCGTAAATAAAGGTAACTAAAAGGTAACTATGTCAAAGTGTCAATCAAAAATTTGTAGTATGTGATCCTCTGTGTTACGGAAATTTATCTATAGATAACCCTAATAGTAATTAATTACAATGCAACAACAGAAGATAATTTATATGTAATTTGTTTAAAAATATATATCACAATAAATCACCCAATGTTAATCCACCTTCTAGGGGCTGACACATGTTCTGTTCCACACCTAATCAGTCATAATCGGAGTACAGGCAACTTGAGCAGCCTCTGCAATTGACCTGATAGGCCAACAACTTGTGTGGCCAACCAAAAAGGTGGTACTTGTCGACCAACCCACCAGATCGATCTTATAAGTACTCGCACTCAGTCTGTTGTTCCATCCGACAACTTGCGTAGCCTACTGGAAAGGCGGTGTTTGTCGGCCTCCAACCAGACAGTTGAAGAAGCGGTAGTTTCCTCGAACCCCTCGCCGACAGCCACCTACCCTCGCATTAACTGCTCTGATAAAGTATCAGTGCTCTAGCCCCCACATAGCCTTTATGACTCGTCGGACCAAATCAGCTCTAAGTACATATTGTCCTACCCCACATTGAATGATCGGATGACTCGCCTTCTTCAGCGGCCGACACCTGTAAGGCATTTGCTGACCCAACTGTCTGTCCGGACTCGGCCCAAATTACTTTTTTGCCCTTCCGATCTGCTATAAAGGAAACTGCACTGCACGGGGTAACTTTTCTTGTTTTCATGCAACTTTGAATTCCTCTTCTTCACTTACTTCCTATTTTCCTACTCAAGTTCATACACCAACTTGACCGTCGGAGGCACAACTAGAGAACCCAATTCCAGCCTCTTACGAGCCTTTTACGTGTAGAAGTGAACGTCAGGCTTCGGAACCGGACATTTAAAGAGGCTTTGAGGACCCTAACCCACAACATTAATTCTTAACTAAACCCCTTGTTCGATAATTCGCATCAAAAGAAAATGAAGCAAGCCGAATGAAAAGACCGTGTGTCAATTTAGGGAGCAAGTGTTTTGAGTTCACCTTTTTTTTCCTATTCCGAGTGGGACAACTGACGAAACCAGATCCTAACTGTTGAACTCGGGTCCAGCCTATGCGAGATATCCTTGCGTGAAACTTCATTGAGGCTGGACCACCATTGATATCAACACACTCGATGCTGCTTTTTTTCTTTTTTGTCCTCACGTGAGGAGGAGGAATTGAAGGTGTCGTGTCATTGGGAATTGCTTTGTTGAGGGAGAACAAAGAAAAACTCCCCGCAAATGCAAATGAGTCTTCCCCACTTTTTAATGGCGAGTCAAAGATGCCGTTGTTTTTTTTTTTTGAGAGAGCTCTCTTTCTCTCCCTCTCTCTCTCTCTCTCTCATAAAAAAAGAGAGATTTGTTTGTTTAATTAACATGGTAATGCGGAGGCATGATGTGCCCAATTATTGTCCGTTGAGGACTTTAGGCAAACAATGTGATCATGATGGGAGTACAGACTTTAAAGGAACATTAACTTTGCACAAACAAGATAAAAAGATGGGAATATTTTAAATACTTCAGTTGTTCTTTTTAGGGGATTTTTTTTCCCCTCCATAAAAACCACCTTTAAAATATGATCGTTCGTTACATAAACCATTTTTAAAGGGTTTTTTTATTGCAATAAACTATCTGAACTCACTTTAAGTGAAGTTCTTTCGGATATGATGTAATAATTAGTTGTTAGATACCAAGTATATTAGAGAGATGATTCTTAATTGAGTTAGGTAGGATTAATCACATAAAACTTAAACTGAAAAGCAGACCCGTGTGGTGGATTGCAATAAAAAGCCATTCAAATGTGGTTTATGTATAAATTAAAAATAAAAGGCGATTTTTATGAAATGACCATATTTTAAAGGTGGTTTCTAAGAGGGAAACCCCTTCTTAGTCCTATAGCGAATGTTCTGATAAGATTCATATTCCAGAAGCCATGTCGTGGACCGGAGATTTGAATATTTTTATGTTTTGCATTAGCATTTACACCTTACAGTTTATTTGTCTAGTCATGTGGAAGTGTGCGAGAAACAGTGATTGTGTAGTTTTGTTAGGGGTGTATACGCAAGAAATCTAAAGTTTAGGTTAGGTAAACATTTTGCTTCTCCCAAAGAAATAGCACATAATTTTTATTTTTATTTTTATATATATATTCTCCAAATAGTAACGTATCTTGCATTTCCAGTTTGTCTAGAATCTTGGTGGGATCGGCTTTTAGAAGTTTTGTCTCGCAGACATTAATCTCTACTGTTAGGATAATGTCCCCTCAGCACAAAACATTATGCTAAGCTAAGTTTTTTAGGCGCCAACCTTTTACCCTGAACGATTCTCTTTGTGTCTTGTACAACGAAGTTGCTTTGATGATGATGACCCCAACGCGGCCTAGACTTCTGCACGCATAGCGCATAGGCCATATGAAACATGTGAAGGCCTGTGTACATGCTTCAGAATTTGCAGCAAATACGTACGTAGGACACATCACAGTGCAGAGCTCTCTTTTTAGTATGGGCCTTGGATGTCCTGCTACTCGACATAATGGTAGAGGTATTAGGAGTTAAAAAAGTAGCAATACAATATTGAAGCTGTTTTTTTTTTTTTTTTTTTACCTCGCATCATTCGAAAAGATGAATTGGCTAAAATAGCGCGACCGATGACGGGGCCTGACATAAATTGCCTCTTTTGAGCAAAGAGACGCAGGAGAAATTATCAAGAAGCAACACGAAGGATCCCCTTGGGATAGCCATCAGATTATCAGTTTGCGTCTAGCTGAAAGATGAGACTTAAAACAAACCATTACGCATTACGTAGTAACGAAAAATTGGAGGAATATGACTTGAAATATCTGCAGCTTAGAAGGAATATTTACTGGCGATGTCGTACAAATATTTCACCGTTAAACCTCCGGAATGCTATCTGCGGTCTCGGAATTGATTCTGCATGAAGTTTTATGAACAAAATTTAAAAAAAAAAACACCTTTAAGGAGATTCTCCAAAGATTATACATCATCAGACAGTCTCATAAGGTTGGAAATAACATCGTTAAGGCTGGAGATATGAGGTAAGAACATATCCTTTAGTTCAGGGGAGTCATCCTGTGCAAGTGCATTGTTCATCGCCTTCAAACCACTCTGCAGCAATTCCATACCGTCACAAACTCCATCAGGGAGCTTCCTTTTCTTTTTCTTTACACATTCATCATTGATAATCTCCATAGGTTCAGCTTCAGAAACATCTGTAACTTTATCCGGCACTTTATCTGGTATGTTACTTAAGTTCCTTAGCATCACACCTTCCTTTATAAGATGATGTTGCTGCTCTCTGCATGGGGTTAGCTCCTGTAACGCTGCCTCTTTCTCAAGATAAGCTTTCAACTAATGAAAGTGCTGCGTCATCAGGGATAAATCTCCACAGCTGAGAACAAGATGTACAAGCAGCAAAATTTGCGAAAGCACCAACTGCCAAATGATTGAATGCCCAGTGTCGCTCCCTCAGCAAGACATGATACAAGCTCAGAATTGCAGAATAAAGCTCACTGCCTTCACCATCTGCTATTTCCAAGTGACTAAAACTGACCATGAAAGAAACCAGAGAAGGCTTGCACTGATACAGTACATTATCAGAATCGGAGGTTGCCATGAATAGGGTTTGCAGCTCTAAGATGAGTCCTTTCATTTCATCAGAGATGTAAGACTGCTTTGAGGTTGATATTACATCTAGTACTGCAGAAAGAACTTTGGCATAGTGGTCCTTGAACTCAGCTGCAGCATCTCCAACTCCATGAACGAGAGAAATAGCAAACTTCAGAATTTGGGAGATGTCCTTATTATCAATAATTTCAGAACTCTTAATCTCACTGCAAAAGAGAAAAAAATTGTGAAAAGAAAATCTCTACAATTCATCTCCATAGCTTCCGGTGTGTTTTATGTATGTATTTATATAGATTATTAGCATTATAATTATTATTATTATTGTTTTGCATTTGATTAAGCCACTACGAAAAGTTTTAGTTGAGGTAACTGTATAAATTACAAAAAATCATGGAATTAACAACTTCCACTTGTCATTGGGTTTCAAGTTCCATGCATCATTCTAATGGTTGCAATAGCATTTTCATTTTTACATCCAAATTTAAGAAAATCTCAACTTCATAATAAGAGTCCAGGAATGTCTTTTTTGGGGTGGTGAATGGTGATGGAAGTTTGAAATTTGCTTACCAAGAATGCATCAAAGACGATAAAGCATGAACTGGCAACCCAATGAAATCTGAAGATCCTAAAGAACCATTTAATCTGAGCCCTTTAGAATTACTCTCCATGAAACCATAAAATGCAGTGACGATCTTCCGGATGGCGGATAGTTTTAGATTATCAGATAATGAGTCCAGAGGAAATCCCTCCAACAGTAATGCAATGAGCATGATAGATGACAGATAAGATTTCTCATCAGTTGTTACAGAAAGGTATACTTGATCTTTGGCAGCAGATGTTGTGTTAGTAAGAAGACAACACATTGATCTTGCCATCTTCCTTAGAGTACAAAAGGGTGTGAGCACAGGCTCTGCTGATGCTAGACCCTTGAACAGTATGCATAACCTCTCAACAACATGATTGATCACATCTATTTCTGTGTGGCGTATGACAAAGGACCACAATTCTCTCACAATATCCAGACAGAGAAAGTGAGGATGGATGAGGTTCTTGAATAGAAAGCTTTCCAGTTCAATCCATGCTAGTCTACAACACGAAGCAACAACGAGAAAGACCTTTAAGGAGTGTAAAATACTATAAAACAATGGTTGCCAAGTAAGTCCAGGTTCAGGACCAGAAGCACAAAGAACTGGTGTATGCAAACTAAGAATGGAAGAGTAGACATCTTCGTGCATCAAGGCATTCATAAGCATGTCAAGCTTTTTAGCAATTGCATGTACCATTTCATCTTTTAGAGTTGATGAAGACCTGAGAAGGTTCATGAACAGAACAACTCGACCAAGCAGTAAGACTTCACTCTTGGGTATAGCATCAGAATTCACAGTGAAGATAGTACTAAATAAATCTGCAGAACTTTCAAAATCTCTTTCCATGTTTACTGAACCAGAGTCTATTGTGTATGAAAATAGCCAGTCAAGTATCTGGATTTTGGATTCAAACTTCACGTCAGCTGAATTTAATAGTGTATGCAGAAGAAGGAAAGATGTTGGCTCCAGGAACTCAATTAGTGCCTCACTCACAGCTCTGAGGTGTGTTTTTCTACTCAATGAAATACCCACTGATGAGATCAATAATACACACCTAGATATCTCTTGATATATATCAATGGCTAAAAAGGAATATTCGGAAGAGATTCGAACTGCATTAATCAAGTAAAACTTTATTGGTAGAAATGTTCTTTTAGCTTCAGAAACGATTGGAGTTTCCTTTTCTGTTGCAGAGGACCAAGTTTCAGCAGCACATTGTAGAGTCTCAGTAGCCAGTGAAATAAGGGTTAATATAATGTCGCTTATATTTACTCTTTCAGCTAAAGCTCCTTTATCAAGCTGAAGAAGGAAAACTACACCTTTCCATGATATGTTGAGTACACTCACAAGATTCCCTCCACCAGAAGCAGCAAAAATTCCCAGTTCATACAAACATTCTATCGTGGTTGCAGTTATAGCAACAATGTGACGAGCATAATCCACATGCCCATCTTCTTCTGATCTTTCACCACTGTTAATACTCATCTCCATGAAGTCTTGCCTAACAGTTTGAAAATATGCTCTGCATAACTTTACAGCAGCATCTAGAACCACTTGTGCTACTTTAAGTACTTCAGATGTAATCAAATGAATTTTCTGCTAAATGGCAAATAATAAAGCACATCACTATTGGAGGATGCCAAATAAGAGTGCTTCAATCAATATATTATTTTTACATATGAAGAATGTTATGTACACACATTCAAATGGAAGAAATACATGCCAATAATCAAGTAATGGGCTGTTAAACTTTCTTGCTCCTAAATAATATTGTTTGGCAGAATAGCTCGCCTTAAAAGAGCTGAATGGACATAAAGGATTTACACATCTGAAATGCATTGGGATTGAAGGCGTAACTGAAGTCGCTCCCAACTATTTACATAAATCATCAACACTAGGAGATAGTCCATATGGTCAATAATTACCGATTTTCATACTCAGTCAGAGAAAGGTAAACATCTTGTGTTTGCCTTTGGCATGTCTTGAAACAATGCTGTTTACAATGTGCAAGAGCTCATTAATGATAAGCAATCACGACATATAACAAAGATCTAGAGTCAAACCTTCTTAATATGAGTTTGTGCTTAACAGGCCAACCTATAGTATCGGAAAAATAAATGCAAGGTGAAGGATACAGTAAAAACAATCTATAACAGGTAATTTTGAGCATGCATTTGTTAAACATTGAAAAGGATACTGATAAAATCTTCATGATATATGACTTAAGATGATTGTTTGTCAAGTTTTTACCATACTTTCTGCTAGATGACTTGAAAATGTTTTTAAAAGAGACTTTGGAGGAATACGTCATCTCACTCTGCGTGTTTATGCCTTATCATACTGTTGGGTATGTTATGTTAATGCTTAACTAGCTCACTGTCTTATCTAAGCATTTGTCATGAGCCACAAAATCCCCATTGTATGATAAATATGGATTAACCTGTTGAGCCCCGTACACTTTTTAAGAATGAGATCATTATCTTCTAGGTAAATAAAATAGCTAGTAGTTACTCTAACTTTTGAAGAATGAATTTGTTTGAGAATGAGAAAAACCTTTTATTGAGAGAGATAAGATATGTATATTTTACTTAAAAGGAATTAGATACTTGACTTCTATAGGAAGCTAATTCAAGTGGATAAGGAGAAGAACTATATATATTACTTAAAAGGAATTAGATACTCGACTTCTATAAGAAACTAACTCAAGTGGACAAGGACCGCCTCACATTGGTCCAGAAATCACAGTGGTTCAACTATATGGGTACATTATAACTATGTTTTGTGTCCCACAGGCTGTTGTATACTGTGCATTGTTCATGAACGAATGAACATTTTTATTATGTGCCATGTGCTTGTATCACGCCTAGGCCTAGGCGGTACCTAGGCCGCCTAACTAGCGCCTAGCGCCTAGGCGATATTTAGGCTGCCCACCTAGATTTTAGGAGCGTTTAGGGGAGCATTGTCTGCTTACGTGGATTGCATCCTATAGGACTTCATTGTGATTTTATGTGTCGTAGCCTACACGTCCTCCAAACTCCATTAACATATAAGTTAACAGTAATTTGAGTTTATTGTTAACTTAAACTTAACAATAACTTATAAATTAACAGTAATTTGAGTTGAGAATGAGTTTTTCACTGTTGAGATGAACTTATAATTTGAGTTGAGAAGTATAAACATACAAAGAGCTATTATAATTGGTAAACCAAGCAATTTAGTTAACAGTGTTTATATTTTAGTATTTATGCATCTTTGATTGGGTATATATATATATATATATATATATCACAATTAAAAAAATAAAAAAGAAAAAAAACGTCCAGAAACCGTTTAGGCGCCCGCCTAGACGACTAAGCGCTGGGCGCCAAGTCCGACGCCTAGAAGCGCCCAGCGTTTAATGTAACATTGATACTATTGCTTTACGCTATATCTCAAATTTAATTGATTGAAACATTGGGCCATCATACTCCTCATTCCCACTTGATTGCTATATATATAGATATATATATATATATATATATATATCTTCAAGTATCACAATTAAAAAAATAAAAAATAATAAAAAACGCCCAGAAACCGCTTAGACGCCCGCCTAGGCGACTAAGCGTTGGGCGCCAAGTCTGACGCCTAGAAGCGCCCAGCGTTTAATATAACATTGTGCGCACACATATATGTATATTCACATACTATATGTAAGAGATACATGTCCACTGAGGCTGTAGTCCACTTTAAATGTATAAATAGGGGCGAATATTAATTTCCCTGCACATTGTAATCATAAAAAAGCTCATTTTAGTAGGATAAATAGAGAGAAGCAGACATACCTTGACCTCAAAAATTAAACTCTTTGTTAGATTCAACAGTTCGGAGATGAAAGTTTCAATGCTAAGCATTAGCACTTTTTCCCCTAACATTGGAGAACGTGTCAATATAGAAATAATTGCCAAGGAGAAACTCAAAGCATCCATGATTAACTGCAATAGGAGAGCACTAATTAGTTAAGAATTGGTAGAATATGTATGATTCATTACCTAATTACTAGGATGCATAGAAAACTGTAGCCGAAAGCAAAGAGGTACAATTCAATAAAGGATGAAACCATTCAAGAAACTAAAACCAATTGAAAATGAGGAACAGAAACACATAATTATGTAAGACAAAAGAGGACGCAACAAGAAATTTTGAGTAACAAAATCTTGTTCGAAAAGTTAGGAAGATATTTACTCACTCGAAGGTGTTGATAACATATGCAGTACAGTAGTACAAATGATCTTTCTAGATTTATTCCCCAAGAAAGAGACAATTGAACTGGTCTAATGAACTCAGTTACATGATTAAAGAAAGAAGTTCGAGGATATTGAAAGACTCTTCTCTTATTATTAATGGGCAGGCAAGTATTGTCATAGATTCTTCAAGGAAACACCACAATACATTTTTCAAGAAAAGAAAGCTGAAATGCAGTTCTATAAACTTCCAGGTCTTTAAATATGTCTTCATGGTACCTATGATCCCATTCTATAACGATATGAATCTCCAATTGAGTTGCACAATATACACCTTCTGATTGATAGGATATGGTTAATCCTACAGGTAGGGTCCCAATCAGACTCTACATATGTGTGTTCATGTTTGTTAAGTATTCATTTCTTTACACATGCATGTATTGATATACGGAAATCTTCCCACAATAAACGCATAGTTATAACTTTAAGAATTCCATAGTGGTCAGCACATGGATAGCTGTATTGATATAGGGAAATCTTCCTATGATAAACACATAGTTATAGCTTTAAGAATTCCATAGTGGTCACCACATGGATAATTAACAATATGCACCTTTTTTTAACACCTCAAAACTAGCCTAATAATAAGGGATTACTTGGTTTCAAAACTTCATCCACCTTCTTAAGTTGATTCATGACTGTAGAAAATAAATCATTTAGCTGTAAAAGAAGGTAACTGTTAATGCATGGGAAATTTTTTGAAATCACTTTATTGTAACCGTGTAACAAAGACTTACACGTGCATGCATGCAATACAAAGGTTATTTAGCCAATGGAAAAAGATATTGGCATGATCCTGGTCAAACTGTGTGATCATATAACCATTTCAGGAACAACTTAGCGTTACATGTGCCATGTTCTAAAGTCTTTCTTAGCTGAGGAGAAGACTTGTTCCTTAACTATACCAGCTTAAATAGCATGACTGATAAGATAAGTTACCTGCACAGCCAACTTGCAGGGAATTATGGAAAACCACTCTTTTAGAATACTTACGTCCCAAAACCTTAGCACTAGTTTAGAGGACTAATATTGTTGGGAAGACAGCTGGTTATAAATTGCAAGAATCATCTATTAGAACGAAATATCTGAAAGACGGTTCAATTAAGTTGAAGCCAAAAATTTTGCATAGGTAGTGCAATCAAGCTCAACTAACTATGATAAGCAACATGAATTGATGAAGGCCAACTGACTAAGAAAAACATTGTCTAAACTCTAAAGTGTAGTATAAAAGAAACTTAAGATGCCATAAGAAACTGTAAATTCATGAAGGTCAACTATATGAAAAGCACTGTATAAAGTAAAATGAAATGAAGAATAAAAATAAACCTAGAGAAAATAAGGTGAAAGATTTGTTTTGGCTGTCTACCTGACAGAATAGGTTAGAGTGTTCTTCATCTCTTGCCTCTTCAATTGACATAATAATCACTTGGAGATGTTTTATGCACCATACATTTGCCTAACACATGAAACTGCACATATCATTGAGCCTTCACCAAATCATAAACCCAAATATAGGAGAGGCATCACATATATAGATTAATGCTTATTAGATGTGCCGCAATTACCTTTGTTCCTAGAATGAGAAACTGGCTTATATAGTTGGATATATCTGATTCCAAATACTTTGCAGCGGCACAAAGAACTGCTTTATTTAACATGCAATTTGATAAGCTCAAGCATGTAGATTCCTTCCAAAATGTCTACATCTTTGTTAGGGTAATCAAATTGCAAATAACTGTCCTGATATGCAATGAATCTTTTCATAAAAGTTAGAATAAGCTTTGATAAGAACAAAAAAGTACAATTGACATCCTTAACCAAGAAAATGCAAAAAAATGTATGTCTAAGAAGAATCAAATCAGAACAGAATAAACAGGATACTACAAGCCATTCAATTAAAAGGGCTAAATCTGATGGGTCAACTTGACAACAATTCCCGATTTGAGTGATAAGTGATACACGATCCTCCAAAACCTGTTAAAGAGAGATAAGATGTGAGTTGGAGAATGCAAAATCTAGAATTATGAACCAGATGGGAGCACAAACAAGAATATTGAGATACTAATATACCTGTAACGCCTCATATATGAATGACTTTCTTCTTTATAAGAGAATGTAATTATATTTGCACAGTGGAACAAGGGTATCAGATATATGCTTCACATATGGGCAGAAAGGTATGAGTCTACATTCTTGTGGATTTATAACTACTGGTTCTTTATCTTCCTCGTCTTCGCATAGGGTATATTTTCCCATATTGACTAGTCCTAAGTTTATCTTACGTAAAGTATTCCACTAACATTTGTTTACATGAATAACTGAGGTCTTTAACAAGGAAGCAAAAGCATATATTAAGCGCAATGTGTGTGTGTGTGTGTGTTCAAGCATTTAAGAACATCCCTAGAAGTAGTGAGAATAAACAGAAATTGTATGTAAAATTCTCTTGTGAATTGCTGGAGCATGGCCTGAATAAGATGATAGAAAAATATTCCTATTATATGCCACATCTCCCCGAAGAAATGGTGTATTATAAAGATAATATTCTCTGCTAAGTACAAAAATCTGAAAATATTCATTCTGGAGAGAAAACATACGTTGGAGATAAGATCATTATTTTTTTTGTTCTATAGGGGGAAAATGATAAAGACAATTCATCACCTCTTATCAAATCCATCCCTAATTTCCAATTTTCTAGGGTTTCGTCGCTAAGCAGCCATAGCAAAAGAATCAACAAGCGTTCATCGATGGATCTCAAACCCGGGTCCTTAAAAAATTAAATCATCTGAAACAACATCAGGACGTGACCAGCTTTACAACGCCTCAATTTTTATTTTGTCTCGAGAAATTCAAACTTCGCCGATATTTAGTTAAACTAGGGCTTAAGAGGTGTCGACCGAGTTCATTAACAAATATCGAATCTTTTTCAAGGGCTAACCTTATCGCAACCGAAACCCTAAATTTCAAAGCGCACACTCAAAAAAATAGTACCCTAATTTTGATATAGCGAAGAAGGATCTAGGGTTTTGGAAAATGAGGGAGAGCTCACCTCCGATGATCTGATTGATTCGAGAAAGCTCCGCAGGTCCGTCCTCTTCGTTTCGCCTTCCATCCCTCTCTCTCTCTCTCTCTCTCTCTCTGAAATGGGTTCTCGAGTTTCCCGCTCTCGAGCTCAGTAGCGATTTCAGAAAAATTTTGGTGTAATAAACCGCGAGAACAACTTATTGAAGTGTCAGGTTGTTGCGAGCAAGTTTTCGAAGGCCCATCCCGCTTTAAAAAGGGGCCCAGTACTCAAACACCCCGTGGATTTTGGGCCTTGTACTCCGCAGCATTGTGCTGGGGCAATTTTTTTGTAGCTTTACTTCTAGGACCATTTTCCTTGTCGATTCTGCGTTTCGGGTGTATAAATCCCACCACGAAAAAGTGCATGATTAATTTTTTTTTAAAAAAGAATTTATTTGAAATATATTTTTAATAAACATTGGAATTTCATATTCAACTGGCGTTGTATTTATTATCAAAACTGTAATTGTATGGATGTATGTCATGTTAGCAACACTTTTACCTGAGAATATAAAATAGCACATCGGTTTTTATTTACTTTATCCGAACAATTGTCCATGTGCAAAAGGAAAACAAATGGACAGGTGAAGCATAGAAGCGCCTCACTGTGATCATATTCGCATTATTTTAGCTTCATTAGAAATTTTATTCTAAAATAAAAGTAGAACTTAAGTGTTGGCTAAAATAAAGTTATTGTCATTATTATCGTCAGTTCCATTTAGCCTCACAATTTGTATATACCAAATGACTGCATGCGTTTTTTTTCTTTTCTTTTTTAATTCATTTTGGTACCCAACAAATAGTCGGCCTCTTTGTTAAAAAAAATTTTAAAAAAAATAGTCGGCCTCACGTCGCTGACTTCGACAAGGGCCCTCCCCGAGTATGAAGCAACCAACTAACATATAAATATAGAGTTCAGACAATTTAATCTTGTCCATGCTCATTAATTGTCAAAAAATAATAATTTAATTTTTCAGCAAAGCCCATTTAAAGCCAATTTGCTTTGACCAATAACACAGCATCTAGCCCTTCAACATGTCCAACTCAAATGCAGAGAATCCAAATTAGAAGCATCGTTGATTAAATGCAAGGACGTAATCGTGAAATTTAAATTAGTAAGTTGTGGATCTACTTGTTTGTTTGGGATTGGGATCCTCATTCTTCTCCTAAGGAATAGTGTTTCCTAAGATTTCCTAATGCATCTCAACCTTTGATTTTGTGTATGAGCACAAAAAACGAGGAGGTCATATGCAATGAATGGTTGAGATGCATTAGGAGCTCTTATGGCCTGTTTGGATTTGTAGGGGGTGAAGGGAAGCTAAGGGAAACTGAGTGAAGGGAATGGAAGGGAAGGGAATTCCCTTCCCCTTTGTTTCCGTCGAAAGTCACCTTAGTCATTGATTTCATTAAACTTTAAACGTTACAAATGAATTCAAATAACAAAAGAAAAAGATTACAACTTTCTTGAAAATAAACACAAGATCCGTTTATCGGCTCTTGCTTGCGTGGGTTCTTTGCCGGTGCCGGGGTTAATCCGTGGACGACCTCGAATCAGATCCGGTTGCAGAAAATTGGGCAGAGCTTCTACCTCACCAAGGGGGTATTTGCTTGAAGTCCTGAAATCGACAAAGCGAAATCAGGGCTCTTCTCGAGATTAAGACAAAGCCTAATCTCAAGGAACGGACGTACGGGCTTCAGATCCTTCGAACGGCTTCTCCTTTGCTCCGAAGTTCGCCGGGATCTCGTTGACCTTTGCTGAAATTTCGTGCTCCTTCACTCTTCAATCCGGCAGCACCTCGTCCTCTTGATAAAATTCCAGATCTCGAAAATGGAGGCCTTTGGCTCATATTTATAGGCCTCGAATGCGGTTATTTGGATGAGAACAAGTGATTTGGCTCTATCTTCAGTTGACAACAGCCTAACCACGTTTGGGGATGATCTCAAGTCAGTTAAGAACCCCTGGAACAAATGAATCCTGCGAAAAACCACTTTAAAACCGTCAAAATGCGTTTCGGGTACCAAACTGCGCGGCAGACTGGTCTGACATGCGCTTGCGCGGGTCGGACCGATCCGACCCGCGCTTGCGCGGGTCGGAATCATCCGACCCGCGCTTGCGCGGGTCGGATTGATCCGTCCCGCGCTTGCGCGGGTCGGATCATCCCGTCCTGCGCTAGCGCGGGTTCCGCCGACTTTTTCCCTTTTTTGGTTTCTTTCTTCCGGGATTTGTTGAAACAGATGAATCCTGCAAAAAACCACTTTAAAACCGTCAAAACGCATTTCGGGTACCAAACTGCGCGGCAGACTGATCTGACCTGCGCTTGCGCGGGTCGGACCGATCCGACCCGCGCTTGATCCGACCCGCGCATGCGCGGGTCGGATTAATCCGTCCCGCGCTTGCGCGGGTCGGATTGATCCGTCCAGCGCTTGCGCGGGTCGGATCATCCCGTCCTGCGCTAGCGCGGGTTCGCCGACTTTTTCCTTTTTCTGTTTTCTTTCTTCCGGGACTTATTCTTGTCGCTTATTTGACCGATTTATTGACTTGTATGCTTCACCGCAAGACCGATCATCGAACGCGCTTTAGTTAATATACGCGTGTTGATCGATGCGTGCGGACTAATTGGCGTGCGCGCGTTGACCGACGCGCACGAGCTGGTTGACGTGCACGAGATAATTTGAAGTACGCGCGTTGACCGGCACGCACAAGTTGATTTGACGTACGTGCGTTGACCGGCGCGCACGAGCTGCTTAGGTGAGTCTTCTTGTCTCGCCAATTCATTGCTTCGAGTTTCGTGCGGGCTCTCATAGGCAATTTTAGACGCCTACAGATACCCCCTCCAAAGTGTTTCAGCCTCATTCTTTTATAGAGGAGTCTGAAATGCTTTGGATATGATGGATCCCCACCTTCAGTCGGTGTTAAAGGACCTATAGATGGTTTCGATTCTTGACTTCTCCATATCTTAGCATATTCTGTGTTTTATCGAATAACTAAGATTTTCCCGGTACTGCGTTTATCGTCTGACCGTTATCGAAGCCTTGAACCGAATTTGGTGAATAGATTTTTGTTGATGTGTCATTGAGTTGACTTTTGGATCAATTGCAACGCGTTGACAGCCGTTGACCTAGGGCTACGCGTTGACCGGCGTTGACCTTAGGGTTTCGAATCGATTGGCGTTGACTCTCCTCGCAACGCGTTGACCGACGTTGACCTAGGGCTACGCGTTGCCCGGCGTTGACCTTAGGGTTTCCCATTAACCTGAGGAGAACTAGTTTATACTCGTGTACTCCTTGGAGTTTTGGAAATCAGTTTAACCTCGTGTACCCGTTGGAGGTTGTCAGGTTATCCTTAAGAATTATTATATGTAATATTCTCCAGGAACTTCCTGTCAAGATGGGAAACAGTTTAGACTCATGGTCGCCAATTGGTGTTTGGATTTCGAATATTCCGATAATAGGCGAAAATATCGCGAAATCACTCAAAATATAAAATTGGGTCCCGAATATTCCGAAAATAGGCAAAAAATCACGAAGTCACCCAAAATATAAAATTGAGTCTCGAATATTCTGAAAATAGACGAAAATATCTCGAAATCATTTGGGAGACGGAGTTGAACTCCAAAAATTCCAAATCTGAGTGAAAATGTCGCCAAATCATCCGGGAGATGGAATTGAACTCCGAAAATTCCGAATCTGAGTGAAAATGCCGCCAAATTATCCGGGAGATGAAATTGAACTCTGAACGTTCCAAATATGCCGCGAAATTATCCGGGAGATGAGGTTGGACTCCGAACATTCGAAAAAACGGGCGAAAACAGGTTAAAATACAGCGAAACGGGCATTAAACTGGGTCTGACCCGCGTTCATGCGGGTCAGATGAATCCGACCCGCGTGATCTCGGTTTGGATTAATCCGACCCGCGGAACGCGGGTCGGAACCTGGGAAAGGGGTAAAACCCCCCATCTTCCTTCTTCTCCCTCTAACTTCGGTTCCAGCTCCCCCTTTCAAAATTCGATTTCTTCTTCCTTGTTATCTTCACCCACGAATTTTCTTTGCTCAAGAACTCTTAACAAGATCAAATTCTTCCCTTCTTTAAATTCCTCAACTCCATCTTCTTCTTCAAACCCCTCAACTCCCTCAAACCTACGAGTAAGACCAGCTAGGGTTCGAAAATTGGACGTTGGCTATTCGGGTTTTCACACAGTTCATCCCCTTCTTGAGTTCCAGGTGAGTTCCTCTCTCCTTGCTTCAATTTATTCCACTCTTCATATTTGGATGCTTGATCCATGGCTGATTTTTTTTGAATTTTGACTTAAAAATGGAAGCCCTAGTTCTTAAATTTTGGGGAAAACCGAAACTTGAACTTGAGCTTTGCATGATGGCCGATTTTTGAGTTTGATTGTTTGAGAAGTTGGTCGAAACCTTTGAACTCCATTCTTGAATTTGTCGAAATCTTTGAACTCCATTCTCGAATTTGTGTAAAAAAAAAACTGAATCTTGATGGGACTCTGTTGATGGCCGAAAATCTTGATTTTATTCTTGAATTTGCGCAAAGAATTGAAATTGATGGTTAAAAACTCATTGTTGGCCCAGTTTTTACTGTTCATGGCCGAAAATTCTGACTGTTCATGGCCGAAAATCTGTCTTCAATTGTGAGCATGGCCTGATCACTGCAATTTCGAATTAATGCCTTTAAACTCATGGTTCGATGGTGGCCGAAATTTGGGGTTGTAGAACTTTGTTATTGGACAGAATTTTGAAGCATCTGTAGACTTTGGTGATAGATGGATTCAGTTCGTGATTATGTTCAAGATTAACCTTCTCCAAATGCAACAAGCTTTCACCTCGTAACCTCAATTTTATTGAAGCTTGACAATTTGTTTTTGCTGTAGGTCTCGATTGGTACTCTTGTATATAATTCGAACTCTAATTTATATATGGCCGAGAATTGGCTCGAACTCAAACTTGTATATGGTCGCACCCTCGTGTATGGTTGAACTCATGTATGCCTTGAATCCAAGCTTGTGTATGGTTTGTAATAAGAAAATGAATAAAAGAATTGCGTTTGACTTTATTCTCTCTAACTGTTTAGAAAAAGAATGATTACAATTCTCTCTACTCTCGATT